GCGACTTCCGCGCCGGGCCGGGGGGGGGGGTGTCTGAAAACCCCCCTTCTAACTCGGCTCCTGGGTCACGTAGCGACACGCGGTAAGCGGCATTCAAAAGAGCGTCCAAAATAAGTACGAAAACACTTCAGTCATTTTTTGGGTCAGGTCAAAGGTCAGGTTACCAGAGGTCACCAAAGGTAAAATGTTGGCTATTTCAACATTTTGGAAACTGCCAACGGCTAACTCGGGAACCGATAGAGCTACAGCGCCGCGGAAAAGCGCATTCGATAGCTCTTTTGACGCTCTTTCGCCAATATGTCCTCAGATTTGACCTCAGGTCAACGGTTTAGCCTCCAGAGGGCAAAAACTCCAAAAATAGCCGTTTTTTACGAACAGTGTTTTTCGGCAATAACTTCTGACTCAAAAAAGCCACGACATTACTTTTGCCAGAGTCGTGTTCCTCTTGTCAAAACGCGTCGAATGAACTATAAGTTGACCTTGAAAAGTCAACTTAAAAATTTGACCTCAGGACCTGACCGGAAAAGGTCATGTTGCATATCAGTCGATCCGCATCGTCGAGCCGAACACATCTAAGGCGTTTTCATCGCTCTATCATGCCTCTATCAGAAGTTATTAGCAAAAAACTGTTAGATACTATTCGTGACCTGAGATGACCTCGGGGACATCTCAGAACGAGGGGTCACACTCCGGGTCACAGGTGCAATTTTCGGGTTCAGTGTGTCCATTTTACCTACATCCCGATGTTTGAGAGTGTCTAGAATGGCGTTCGTGCAAAACAGACGCCTTTCAATTTTCTCCCATTGAATTATAATAGCGAGGCCGCAAAATTGACCTGACCTTAGGTCACCGATATCGAAATTCCGAGATACACGTTTAATAGGTTTTTATACACGCTTTTATAGGATACACGAGATACACTGTTACTCTCATCAATCGCTGAAAGTTTCAAGGCAATCGTGCGGTCGGTGTAGCATAGACCACTATATATCTGGTCTCTATAGATATATAGTGGTCTATGGGTGTAGCCATGACGAACATTCTAATTTGTTTCTGACCTGACCTTGAGAGACCTGGGTCTGAAATTTTCACAGCATGTGCGGAAAAGATGCACGAACAGGTGTGTTAAAAACGGCGGCGCGGAGCTGCGAAAAGCCGCCGGGGGGGGGGGGGGGGTGTTCAAACACCCCCCGGCCCGGCGCGGGTTAAGATAGAGCAAAACAAAAGCACCAGTGAACTCAGCACGTCAAGGCGTGTCGAATGATATACTTTTTTTGTTTGCTTAAGTGTACTTAAAAGTGTAGGTATTAAAGTGTACTTAAGTGCACAACTTAAGTAAAACTTAAGTCTTAGGAATGGTTGAAATGCTTAATGTTGCATATCATTCGACTCAGCTGTTCAAGAGGAACAGAATGATACCATTTTGAAACCTGTTCTATTATGTGACAAGTTATCGGCACAAACGTCATTTGACCTGAGTTGACCTCATTTGACCTGAACCTTAGATAAGTACACCAAACAAAGAAACACCGAGTGACATTATGTTAAGTACTGTGGTATCAAAGAACAAAAGGGATACAACGAAGCGGACATCTCTATATTTTCCGAATAGGAGTTATTTGAATATTTTCCCATAGGCTTAACATTACGACGTAATGACCCCTAACTGACCTCAGGTCAGTGACATAAAAAACGAACTACATATTATACAGCTCGGTGAACTTAGCACATCCTGAAAGTTTGAAGGAAATCAGTCCAAAACTGTGCGTTGGACAGGTACATAAAAAATTAAATTTGACCATAACCTTGTACCCGTTTTTCTGACATGGTGGCCTGACCCAAGGTCGACCGGACCTGAAATTTGCAGATCACATGAAAAAAGGTTGCCCCATAGGTTGTGCCAAATTTAGCGGCGTTGCGCGCCGCCAATTTTACGCTATCTTTGAAAAACCTTAGGGGGGGGGGGGTCGCATCGACCCCCCTGCCAGGGTGAGGGTTAAGCTTTACTAATAACGCTAAGAACGTCACCAAACATACAGAGGCCGTCAAAAAGTAAGCCATTTGGAGGCCCCCTCGATAGAGAAAAGGCCCCCTGGCAAGCGGAACACGGAGGCCCCTTTGAGCCCGGGCCCCCTCCCCTGGAAAATCCTGGGTGCGCCCCTGGAAAGGGCCTAACCCAACAAAACAAAAAAAGCTTGTTGACGTCCCCATGGAAACCCAATGTGACACGTGTAATTAGCAGCGTGCTGCTATCACCGATGAAACACCACCGTCCCTAGAGGTGACCTTGACATTACCTCAGCCGTCTGTTGCCAGTTGCGGGCTGCATGGGGCTGCGCAGGGGTGGAGATCTGTCAAAATTTCAGGGGGGGGGGTGTCCAGGCCGGGCAGATGGAGGCGGGCTGGATGCAGTACCATTGACTTACATAGCAGTAATTCGTTTTCAGGGGGTCCTGACCCCCCCCCCCCCCGAGTCCCGACCCCCCCCCCCCGAGATCTCCACCTATGGGGCTGCGGCTTCCAAGCCGCGGTCCGGGCGGTGTTTCACCGACGCTGCCAGCACGCTGTAGCCGGCAGCGCCATTGGAAACCCAAATCGTCACGTGTCTTGGCAGCGGCCGTGAAACAGGGCCCCATTCTTGCATCTTACACTTGGCTCCGGGCTGGTGGTTACTTTGCACCTGACAATTGGTGCAGGTGAGCCGTCGGGTCACCACCGGGAGGCCCGGGACCTGTAATTCCTCTCCGGGGTGACCGTTTGGGAGCCCGAGACCTATAATTCCTCTCAGGGGTGACTATATTTGGGAGGCCCGGGACCTGTAATTCCTCTCCGGGGTGACTATTTGGGAGCCCGGGACCTGTACTATTGCTCTCCGGGGTAACTATTTGGGAGGCCTGGAACCTATACTTTCTCTCCGGGGTGACGCCTGACGGTTTGGGAGCCCGGGACCTGTAATTCCTTTCCGGGGTGACTATTTGGGAGCCCGGGACCTGCAATTCCTCTCCGGGGTGACTATTTGGGAGGCCCGGGACCTGTAATTCCTCTCCGGGGTGACTATTTGGGAGGCCCGGGACCTGTAATTACTCTCCGGGGTGACGGTTTGGGAGTCCGGGACCTGTAATTCCTTTCCGGGGTGACCCTTTGGGAGGCCCGGGACCTATAATTCCTCTCCGGGGTGACTATATTTGGGAGGCCCGGGACCTGTAATTCCTCTCCGGAGTGACTATTTGGGAGGCCGGGACCTATAATTCCTCTCCGGGGTGACTATTTGGGAGGCCAGTGGATTGGTTAGAAAGTAATACACGCCGGCGAGCTGTCCCTGAACGTGGCCAATCGGTCCTCCCTGGACGGGCCCGCCGCCAGGCCGCGGCCCAGGAGACCCACATAGCACAATGTCGATCCGCCCTTTCCTAGCATCCCTTCGTTCTGCAATGCCGAGCTAGCTTGTTCCAAACGAAACAAGCAAACAAACAAAAACTCCCAGATAAATTCATACCTCAAATATATCCCAATACATAGGTAAGTAGGTACATACCTATACGCTAACGCACCAATCCCTCTTTCTCTCTCTTGCTCCAAGTTGAGCGGTCCCCGTCATCTATTCTGAGGCCAGTTTTACCAACAGAAAAATAGCCACCTGCCGGATTTTTTTTTTAAAGACCGCTTCAGTGGCGGATCCAGGGGGGGGGCAAAATGGGCATTTGCCCCCCCCCCCAAACGGCATAATTTTAACATTACGCCTATGGACAAGGCATGGAAAGAATCGATAAATTGTTATGGTTTGCCCCCCCCCCCCCCCAAGAAAAAACTCTGAGCTGGATCCGCCTCTGGACCGCTTCACATACAAAGCGTAAACGCGATGGGCATATAAGCGGATAGGGCTTTACCGTTTACGCTTCGTATTATGAAGCGGTCACTAGGCAAAACAAATTCCGGCAGGCGGCTATTTTTCTGTTGGTAAAACTGGCCACTGATCCATCCGGCTCAAGTGGGTCGGCTCACAACCCACAGCGGCGGCCACCCTCCTGTGCTGTGGGCGGATATGGGGGGGGGGGGAGGATCTGGATCACCCGTCAATCGTGGCGGGCCCTCAGTCACCGGCTCAGTCGCCGAAGTAGTTTCTATAGAGTGCAGTGGATCTTTCTGGGTGGTGTTTGTGTCTGTTTACCTGAATATTGGGCGGAGACTTCCACTGGCAGTCGCGTCCAACTGGCGACTAACTGAGCAGACGTCCAAGTTGGCGTTTAACTTGGCGTCTAACTGTTGGACGGAGACTTCCAAGCTAGACGCGTCTTAAGTTAGCTGTCGCCAGATAGACGCGACGCGAAATATTTAGTCTCCACCCAGTGTGAGGGCTGAGCTTATAGCACGACCATCACATCAGAGCCTCGCTGGGACTGGACTGTTCGAGTCAGTGTGGACCACCAATCCCGATCCCTGCTGTGGTCACACCCGGGTCTATCCGGTGATAATCCGTGTCCGTGCTGACCGTCTCCCACATCACACGGACAGACACGGGTCCAACACTGTGCTAAAGGTGGTGTGCCGTCGGTATGTGGCGTCAGCCGGGTGCACCGAGACAGGTCACCACTGGGTCTGTGCCGTCGGTATGTGGCGTCAGCCGGGTGCACCGAGACAGGTCACCACTGGACTGGGTCTGTGCCGTCGGTATGTGGCGTCAGCCGGGTGCACCGAGACAGGCTACCACTGGGTCTGTGCTGTCGGTCTGTGGCGTCAGCCGGGTGCACCGAGACACGAGACAGGTCACCACTGGGTCTGTGCCGTCGGTATATTGTGGCGTCAGCCGGGTGCACCGAGACAGGCCACCTCTGAGTCTGTGCCGTCGGTATGTGGCGTCAGCCGGGTGCACCGAGACAGGTCACCACTGGGTCTGTGCCGTCGGTATGGGGCGTCAGCCGGGTGCACCCAGACAGGTCACCTCTGAATCTGGTGTGTGTGAGCCGGGCGTTTGGAACAGATGTATGTACATACATACAGAGTCGAACACCAAACTTTATTAAACGGAGGAAACTATAAAACATTAATGCAACGCCGCATGGGGTTTACGATTGTGGTATACAATAACCACTTACCGACATGCCCAGTACTGCTGGGGAAAATAATAGCAATCACAAGAATATGCATCATACATAAAGCACAATGCCAACAAACTATGCACGTGTGATGCATTCAAAATTGATAAATTCGCATGCACCAGCGCTTCCATTAACAATCACAGCAAACAGTGACGTCGTCACCAATAAGTTGATTCATGAGAAGCAAAAACATGCTATAAACAATCACAATAAGCTCGTAACAACCACCCCGCCAGTACAGCTGCACACACATCAGCTGGTCACCGAACACCTCTCACTGTGTTTCCTCAGTTCACCGGGCGCCACAAATCCCTTACCACACCGCTCACACCTGTGTCGGTAGTCGTGTGTGTGCCGGATGGTGACGTGTTTCCTCATGACCGACTGAACCGCGAACCGTGCCGGGCAGAAGGAGCACCCGTACGGCCGCTCCCCCGTGTGAGTCCGCATGTGTGTGGTGAGGTGCTGTCGTATAACGAACCGGGCCGAGCACACCTGGCACCGGTGCGGCTTCACTCCGCTGTGAGACCGCATATGTCTGGTGTAATTAGACAGGATGTTAAACACGGCGCCACACTGCTCACACTGACGCACCTTCTCCCCAGTGTGGATCCGTCTGTGTCTCGTTAGGGCACCGTTCTGTGTGAACGCCTTCCCACAGGCGTCACACACGAACGGTCTCTGGCCGGTGTGTATACGGCGGTGAGCGGTCAGACTAATGAGTAGAGTGAACGTCCTGCCGCACTCGTCACAGCGGTGGGGCCGCTCTCCCGTGTGGGTGAGGCGATGGCGACTCATTTTACACACATCGTTCGTCGAGTACTCACACCACTCACACTTGTACCGTCCGTTCCTGCCGATGTGACCGTGCCATGTCTTCACATGCCTGTCCAGCCGCTCCTGTCCCAGACAGGCGTAGTCGCAGTGGACGCAGCGGACCGTGGAGCCACCTGGCGAATGACATTGCAGTGTAATGCAGCATATGCCACACAATGCATACATAAATATATAATCAGCATCGTTGGCTTCGGGTGATGTTGAAGTGCATCCTTGCTTGCCAGTACTAATCGACCAGCTGATAGCGCGGCATGTAATAGATGTCGCTCCAGTCAGTTTGGCCTTGGGGATGGCAGTCGTAGGCATCGTAGGCTGCCTACCTGACACGATGGCAGCTGCTGGCGGCGGGGCGGTGGCCGGAGCCTTCCTGAACGTCTGCACGTTGATGTTGAGCTCCCGGGCGTAGGCGTCTCCGTAGTAGACCAGCAGCTCGGAGCCCTTCACAATCGGCTTGTACGTTCTGGAGGACATACGAATAATCGGAATCAGAGATGACACTGTGTGCGTAGATGTAGCCTTTTGCTCAGATGTGCTTTGTGCTTACACAATACATGCTGAAACGTACGCACAGTCGAAATTATAGTAATTTATTTATTCATTACGGGCTGAAATCTATGAAATCAACCGCGTGATGGGATGACACACGTACTTACATGGATATCCATAGCAGGTATGTACTCGAATATCAATTACCAGCCATTGGACAGCCATCTGCATATGCGTGATTCACCGTTACCTGTAGTACATCTGGCCCTTGTACTGGAAGGCAATCAGGTTCTGCTCCTGCTCGAAGCGGGCACAGTTGACCAGCCGCAGCCAGTTGCTGGAGCTCGAGTCGCCAGCGTTCACGTAGTGGTGCACGCGGCGACTCTTTTTGATCTGCGAAATGTCAGCAAACAAAGCACAGATTTACTAGTCGTAAAGAATTGCTAATCGAATGGTTCCCAAACGTCTTCTAGTGTATCACACACCGGAGCTATAACAAACTATACAAATTATTGCCTTCATTCATTACTCATTATTAGGCGGATTTTGTCCCTCTCATATCCCGCCCCAGACCCGCCGCTCTCTCACCTCCCAACTGTAGCCCGAGTCGGTGGCCTGGCGCCGGTCGGCGGTGACGATGCCCTCGTAGGGACCGAACCTCAGCCGCGCCGGCAGGTCCTTCTCCGTCCAAATGCCTGTGTGAAATAGGGTGGGGACATAAACAGATCCATACTTCAATCGGAGAGCTAAGCCATTAAAACAAGCCTTATTAAAACTCGTAATGGAAATGAAATTTCGGTAAATCGTGATGAATGACATCAACATAAACTAAACATAACACCAATAGAGGGATAAATGGAATCATCAATGAAAAAAAAAACAGGGGACGAAGAAAATATAGTCAATGCAGTGCAGGATAAATAATGAGGATTTTACCGGTGTTGGCTCCGGGGATTTTGGACCGGCCCGGGTTGAGGAACTCGGGACGGGTCTTGATGTCTCGCTCAGGATCGCCAGTGTCGAACGGGACCTGTGCAAGACGCGTGTTCCTATGATAAAATTAACCAATTACCGTTAGCCCTCGCCCGCACATGGGGGGGGGGGGGTGGTTGCCACCCTCCAGGTAGTCTTTCTGCTCTGCACTCAACATTTTTAGAGCTAGAAGCCTGATTTTTGGTATAGCTGCTCCTCTATCCTTTCTTGATGTCCACTGAAAATTTCAAGTTTCTGTGGTTTTCGGTTTCGGAGATATGACCTTGTTTTTCAGGTCATGCCATGACCAAATGACCAATTCTCAACATCTTGCGTTGGCTATGGGCCTTGTGAGCTTTTGAACCTTGATTTCGGCATTTTTTGCCAGTCTTACCTCCGACCTATCATGGAACATGTTGTTCGACGATGTACAGATGTCAAGGTCAGGGTCAAGGTCAACCTAGGTCACCTAAAATAATTGCGTTTTAGGCAAGATGAATTTACTTTTCGTGACTTTTTTTGACTGCATTTTTGGTAAAAGCTACTCAGATCATGATTTCATGTAATATGGACACATAAACAATCGGTGCACACATCAGTATACACACAGACACACACAGACATACAAACACATATCATTGACCTTGACCTAACTTGACCTGAAATGACCTCCGCAGCAAAAATCTGGTCGGGTAGTGTGACAAAGAGTTTCTAGCTGACTTGTCACCAGAAAACGGCATCGTCATCGGTATATGATAAGCAGCGCACTTGATATCCAACGGTGACCCAAAACAGCAAAAGTTTTAGTTTGACCTGACCTGGATGGTCAATGACTGACCTGAGGAGGTAAAACTGGGTATCATTGGATTTGTCTCTTCCCAAAGAATCTTTTTGGTCTTTACCGCGAAGCTCTATCTCCAACAGGAACGAAATGGCGCGGGAAGGTGGCAACCCCCCCCCCCCCCCCCAAGTGCGTTCTAGGATGGGAAAATGGCATGTGCGGGCGAGGGTTAAAAATGACTTGAATTATTGCAAATAGAATGATGACGGAGCGTTCTAAGACTAAAATGGTTTATCGGCACTGAAGAACGACAAAGGTACTAATTAGCAAACGTCAAACTTCTTACGGCAAGATGAGAGAAAATAATGAGCAATGGTAAGTAACGAGCTTCCAACTGCACAATATATACACTACATAAAGTGCTCGCCAGTGCATAAAGGGACTGTGTTGAGTACTGACAGTTATCAGACATCTTACGAATGAAGCGAGGGAAATTACTGCGATAGGACCCTACCGTGCTCCGTTCCGTACCTTGGTGTCGGGTACGACCTGCAGCGGACCGTGGACAGGACAGTCGCCCTCCCACTCGCGGTCACACTCGTCACAGACTGGAACAACACGAAAAAAGATATAAATGTGTTCATCAGTTAATATGTGATTTACTCAACACACAGACATGGAACATAGGTACCTTACCTGAGTTACCTATACTGACTACAGAATAGGTCGAAATCAGCGTTTTCTTTCAAGATCCACGATTGACGATAGATAACATGAATCATGTTATCAGCTATGTTATCTACGAGTATGGATTCATGTTATCTATGGATCCACCTATCTGCACGTAACGTGAAAGTCACGTTACACACCGAAACGTAACACGTCCGTTCTACTGATTTTCTGTTTCGTTACTACTGAAATGCAACTTGATTATTATGGCAGCAGGAATAAGATGCTGAGAAAAGGGAGCTTATGCTCATCCCTGGTGAGCTCCCGAACCAGGCCGTGCTGAGATATATCACTATGCCTTACTTTCACACACACCTGATATTTAACTTCATCGTCATCATACACTGTACTCTTCATTGAGTGTAAAAAAAAAAACAGCAATGAAATCGTACTCCAGGAAAGCTACGAACCGTTACGGCAAAATACTAAATTAGTTTATGACAAAACACGCAACTCACAGATGTAGTCGTCGTCGTCCAGGTCCTCCTCCTCCCGGTAGTTCACCATGTTCCGGCGGCGTTTGAACACCTCCCGCTCGGGAGGCTCTGTGAAATATGGACGCAAAAAAAAACGGTCAAATCATTTTAAAGGTCCACTTATATGTGCAGCACGGAAAATACGCAATCAACAGCCTACGATTCAGCCCATATTTATCGAACCGTGGTTATCGCACGTTAAAACAAAACATGCCTAAACTTATGAAAATTATGGCTCGCCAATAAAACTGATGGCTACCTTATAGAGAACAAGGTAGGTAGTCTAATAGCAACAGACTACCTTGTGCTCTGTTGTTACAAAAATGTTACTACCAACATGTTGCAATAGATAATTTATTCGAAGACTACAGAGTTTGGCATATAGCTACGAACTAGTCAAAGCAAACACGATCCTTACCTTCTCCCAAGTCCTTGAACTCGGCGATGATGTGGTTCCACAGCAGTTCAGCTTTCGTGTCCACAGCGTGCCGGGCCCTGAGAAAGGCGTTCAAAGTCATACACCAGTAAAACGCCTTATGGGCGAAGAACGAACGAGCGAGATAGTGAGCCCTGTACGTGCGGAAGGGCGAGAGGGTACCTCCAACGGGCCTTGTGCAAAGCACCTTTCAAACCGGTCGCTAGCGGTGTGCCAAATTTGAACGCAATCGGCCCAGTCGTTCCTGAGATCTGGAAGCGGCATTCTGCACGTGCGCACGTACAAACGGGGTCCAAAATGACTTTTGCACGGCACCCTACTAACTGGTCCCCAACCGTGTACCAAATTTGAGCGCAATCGGCCCAGCCGTTCTCGAGATCTGGAAACGCCCCCTGCACGTGCGCACGTGCAGTAGCACCCTAACCGCAACACATGGGAATGCATTGCCTGGTGGGTGCCTACCTGTATGCCAAGTTTCAGCGAAATCGCCCCAGTAATTACCGAGTTATTGAAATGGGAACAAATTTGGCACCTCTTCTTTTTTGTTTTGCATGTGCAGTGGGGGTCACTCACATAGATCAAGAGTATCCGACCTTTGGTAGAGGGGATGCAGCTACCACACAAAAATTGCCGCAAGACAATCGCCCAAGCGGCTGCTGAGATATGAGCCTGTCAAAAGCACTACTTTTGCAAAACAGCTTGAACACCCTTAACCCGCGCCCCGCTGGGGGGGGGGGGCAGAATCTGCCCCCCCCTCCCGTTTTTCGCCAATAACTTCTAAACGCGTTACGCCAGCGACGTCAAACTTACAGTACCTTATCATACATCAATTTGACACGTTCCCTGAAAATTTGAGCGAAATCTGTCGGAAAATTTTTGAGAAATTAACGTTTTAGTGACGTCATGTTCGCCATTTTCGCCTAAAAAACGGCAAAATTTCAATCGCCGCTAACATCTTCATTTTTAAAGGAATCGCTTCGCTCGCTCGCTCGTAACAACATGTAATCGTTGCATTGGAACGTTGATAGATGGTCTTAAACCAGTTAATTCGGGATGATCGAACTGTATCGCAACTGCGAGGTCAAGCCAGTTCTTTTTTCACATGTGTAAAAAACCGGGCACCGGCCAATGTTGTCTTGAATATGATCTTGTCAATTGGTTAGATATTTACCGTATCCAGCCGACTGCACATCTGCTTGCATATTTGTGGCCAGAAACTGATGCGACGCGTCCAACAAACATCAACAAAACAACGATAATAAGTAGCTAACGATCATAGGTTAGTCGGCAGTAATCGCTCACACAATTAGGTAATTAATGGTTTAACTGTAGTGTCGGCGCCGTCACTTACTTGTACTGATCCTCCAGTGTAAAGCCAATGAAATCGTACGGCGGCGACGGCGGCCGGTGCGGAGACCGGTCCGCCTCCTCTGCTGCCGCCTCCTCTGTGGTGACCCGACGCTGGTCCTGCGACTGGACGTCACCGGACACGGCCGAGGAAGCAGCGGGCGCCGTCTGAAATATAGTGACAGGTGCTGATAAGAAACTCCAAGAAAGCCAAGCGATGACCTTCCAGCCTCGGGTATATTATTGAACGGGAAATGACTCGATATCTAGCAAGTAGGAGCGTAAATTACTACCTAATTAAATACTTCCTAATAATTATTACCTTGCCCCACAATTATAACAAGCGCGTAAAATGCTACTGTACCTCTCTGGAAAGAAATGTTACATGTCCCGTGTTTTGCAGAGAAGACGGCCACCACCGCCCCAACAGTAACTCCCCACCAACCTCAGCCGATGTCACCGTCGCCGTCCTCTTCACCGGGGGCTGGAACCTGCTCTTGGCGGCGCCACGTCGCACGGTGGAACGCGACCGCCGCTGGGCCGGCCGGACGCATCGCGACGGGCTCCAATCATCGTCGCCGCTGCCAGGTGACCTCACTCGAGGCCGTTTCGGTCGGGCCGGCCGAGGCGGCGGCGGCGGCGGTGCGCGCATGAACGACGGTGGCTGGCCCGCGATGCCTGTGAGACCGTGGGAAAAGATATAACCAGTAGCGGCGGAACACCTTCAATTAAGGGGGGGGGGGGCACTACCGACCTTTGATCCCATTCTTTCCATGCAACACTTAGAGGGCTAATGTTAAAATGCCGAAATTAAAGGGGGCACGGTGCCCCGGTGCTCCCCCCGTCCCGACGCCTATGGACATAACCCCGAACCGTAACTAGAGCTGTTAATTAACCCGCGCCCCGTAGGGGGGGGGGCGAAAAGGCCCCCCTGTCCTTTTCCGTCTCCTAAACGGCTTGAGGTATCGCCTGTCGCCACCAAACTTTCAGGACCCCTCCGGGCATCAATTTTACACATTGTGACCAAAAATTTTTCCAGAGGCTATGACAGGTTGGCCACAAATGACGTCAGAGTGACGTCATGTTCTGCCATCGAGAAGAGCTGTCAGGCCTACAGCTTTGAAGACACAGAAAAATGATCAGACAAAAAAGGTGTAGAATTACCAAGGCTACAAAACTGCTATCTCGGATTTTTGAAATTTTTGAGTTTTGACCCCCAAAAATCAAAAAAGCAATTTTTCGAATATATTTGCCAAACAATCCAAAAAGTTTTTTGAGTTTCGAAAAACCCGGAATATATGTGTTAGTACCTACCGTCTTCTATCTACATACCAAATTTCAGATCAATATCTTGTTTTTTGGCCAAGTTATAGCGAAAAAAACTGTTCAAAAATGATGATGTCAAATTTTCAAACTCAATTTTTGGCAATTCTAGACCACGTAGAGCAAAACAAAGACCACCATTAGACTCCTAGTGACGAGCTGCATCGAATGGATACCCATTTTATGCAAAAATATCAACTTTGAAATTTGACCTAATTTGACCTGACCTTGACCTGACCTTCACCAAAACGTGACCTAAGCTGGCCCCAAAGGCTGCCTGACCCACATAATCGCATTTGTCATGTAAAATGGACCATAAAACATGTATCACACGACACTTTCATATTGTGACCCCCAGGTGACCCCCAGTGACCTGACCTCTGTGACCTGACCTGGTATCAGTGACCCCAGATAGCGAAGTATGTGTTTGACGAACAATTTACCATCGATGGTTTTCAATAACTTACCAATTTACTCGATTTCACAACACATTTCTTGAAATGTCTGTGAACGGTGAAAATCCGACCTTTGACCTGACCTGTGACGTCATCGGTTTGACCTAGGTCAATGAAATTTGGTCACAAGGTAGTTCCTGGATAGGGCTATCGAACGCCATTTGAATTTTGAAAATCGGCCGGTAAATTTCCGAGATCCTTGGGGGGGGGGTCGAAACGCCCCCCCCCCTACGGGTGGTAGGATCCGCCGATAGCCCTACGGGGCGCGGGTTAAAGGAAGACTGCCACCTTCAAAAAGTTTTCTCAGATCGGCCTATGATTTATTGCCTGGACAAAACAAAATTTTAGAATTGACCTGACAAAGTATAATCACGTGAATCGCGAAAAAAATTGTCGATTATCATACAACCAGTATAACGCCTTTTGGGGCGACTAACGGAGCGAGCGAGGGGGTGAGTCTTGCACGTGCGAAATTTCGAGGGGGTACCTCCAACTGACTTGTGCACGGCACCCTACTGACCGGTTTCTAGCGATGTGCCAAATTTGAGCACAATCGGCCCAGCCGTTCTCGAGATCTGGAAGTGGCACCCTGCACGTGCGCACGTGCAAAATGGGTCCCAACTGACTTGTGCACGGCACCCTACTAACTGGTCCCTAATCGTGTACCAAATTTGAGCGCCATCGGTCCAGCCGTTCTCGAGATCTGGAAACGACCCCTGCACGTGCGCACGTGCAGCAGCACCCCAACTCTGGCACATGGATATGCAGTGCCTAGTGGGTGCCTATCTACATGCCAACTTTCAGCGCAATCGGCCAAGTAGTTACCGAGATATTGCAACAATTACAAAACTGACACCTCTTCGTTTTGCACGTGGCACGTGCATAAGGGGTCATCCACATGCATCGGGAATAGTCCAATACTTGGTAGAAGGAATGAAGCTACCCTACAAAATTTACCGCGTGTAAATCGGTCAAGTGGTTGCTGAGATATAAGCCTCGCAAAAGCGTCCGCACGGCCGGCCGGCCGGCCGGCCGGCCGCTCATACTCAGAAATTTCTGTTAATCTAAGGAAAGACTACGCTCGCTTCGCTCGCTCCGTAATTATCAATCGGTTAATGTCTAGCGACAATGTTTACACATCACTAGACTTCAAGGTCATAAGATTATTACATTTTATTTGAAAAAGGAAGGTATTTTATGATTTACTAATATATGATTTCATAAGAAATTGGCCATGTTTAATTTATTTTGCATTTAAGTTCGTAAAACATTTAAAAATCATGGCTCATTTGGAATGGGTCTGGCCCATGTTAAACCCCATTTCCCACACTTTTTTGGAAAAAATGAATTACTGAATATATAAGTTTAACTTTTATTTTGACACTCCAAAATTCTTCTCTGATCTCGAAACAATCAAAGTTTTGACATATATTTACCAAAAGATAAGAAAATTCATGTTTCAAAGTTATCGATAAACAGTAGAGATGTCGGTTATCTTGGACTAAAAAAATGGCATCAAACTGAACTTTGGTCTCCGATTTCTCGCAAACGGGTTCGAATTTCGGAAAACCGACTTCAGTCTGGGACATAGGTGGCTCAGCTCTAGTGAAAACCGTTTTGTGGAAAAAAGGTGGCAGTCTACCTTTAAGCCTACTGCCTATCTTGATCAGGAGCCAAACGCCGGGGAGGGGAGGAGGTCCAGCGGACCCCCCCTATACGCCCACGGGACGCGGCTGGCAGGCGTGCACACAGGATTTTTGAATGGGGGGGGGGGCACGACCTTCGCACTGGGCCCCCCATGCCGAAGGCCCCCCCCCCCAAAAAAAAAATACGGCCCACGGGGTTATATTTCGGTTGGTTTGAAGCTTGAGCTTTTGTCATTGCATGGTAAAACAATTATTTCCGAACCAGCTTAATTTTCAAAACATTTATATTCTTACGCTAGCATTTTTTTTTCTCAACTGCGACTCAAAGCCGGTACATATACCTAATCATCTAATTTATTACGTAAAACATTTCATTAATGAACATTTTTGCAAGTCCCTGAGAAATCAGCCCCGGGCAGCGACTATTAACTGCCGGCCGACCGACCGGCCCCGGGTGGCTGGGAAGCAGGGGTCGGTCACTGTTTGGCCCGGATGTGTATGAGCGGGAGCAGTACTCCTTTTCCACGTATATTTGCATATTTTTTAGGCACATCGACATGAAATGTCATTATATCTGAAACGATGCGGGATCACAGACTAGGGATCCAGCTTATAACTTATATTTAATGTTTAACCGATGAATCAAATCAACAGGACTATGTACTGCATGTCGGACACGCACCCAGAATTTCGCCGAAGAGGGGGTCACCTGCTGGTCACCTGAACCCGGGCCCGCGAGTCACCCGGGGGGCCCGGGGTCAGCTCAGGCAAGGATGTATCCAGGACCTTTCGATAGGAGGAGGGAGGCACGGTGGGTCCAGTCTCACTGGCAGATAGGTCTCTTTAAAACGGTCTTTGCATGAGAAAATGTGGAAAATTGGCAAGTAAAAGTATCATTTATGCCCGAGGAGTGTGCCTAATGTACACTAATGCCTAATGTACATGGTACTAGTATTTTACGAGCGAGCGAGCTCCTCATAGTCACCGGTGTGTGGCGCGCTCAGAGGTGCCAGTGAAAGGCCGTCAGATGCGCTGGTGTTGGGTCCTCACAGGCGCCGTTGCGGGGTCTTAGGGCTTAGAGACACTGGTGAGGCCATCATTGGCATGTGTGTGGCCCTGCAAAATGGCCTGCAAGTGGAAAGTGGCCCTTCATAGGCTGGCAAGGACACTCAGGCTAGTAAGAGGCCCTCAGAGTCACTGATACTTGGCCCTCAGAGGCGCCGGTGTGGGGACTCTCAGAGCCGCCGATGTAGGATGCGCTGGTGGGGGGTCCCTTGGAGGTGGCGCGAGGGGCCTCGCAGTTGCCGTTGTGGGCGCCTTTAGAAACACTGGTGTGAGACGTGTGTCTATCACAGACGGATGTGGAGCCATAGCAGCCAATTCCTCGTTGGCCGTTACTAGGGCCCTGAGCGGCCGGCGAGGTCTCTCAGAAACCGGCATTGGGCCTTTATGAAGATAATTGTGGCTACATAGGAGCCAATAACGTGCCCCCACAAGCCCTGTGATGTCCTTCCGAGTTGAAGTGCGGCCAGCGCGAACCCTCTGCTACCAACTGGCGCCGCAGGGCCCCTCGGTTTCGAAGAAACCCTAAACCCGAGAACGGGCACGTACCCCCCGCTCCCTTGCTATGTCACTGAATCCAAGTGATCAGGGACCCTTTAGGTAATCAGGAGCGTTTCAGATGACCAGGGGTTTTCAATTGATCAGGGGCCCACCAGATGACCATGGGCCCCTCTGGTAACCAGGCCTTAATGGGCCCTCAGATGACCTCAAAGGGATCTCAGATAGCCTTAAAGGGCCCTCAGAAGGCCTCAAGTAATCAGGGACCCCATCAATAACCAGGGCCCCTCAGTAAACGGGGCCACTCAGGTAACTGTAGGAGTCCCGCAGATAACCAGGGGCGGCAAGGTTTCTCAGGTCCGTTTTTGACAAGGCTCTTATTGACTCAGGTGCGAGCCCTTTGTCATCAGCAGAGGGCCCTTTCAAGCCTTTTGAGGGCCGTTTAACGTCTCTTGAGTTCCCATTGAGGCCTTCTAAGGGCTCTTCGAGCGGTCGAGGGGCCTTTGAGGCCTTTTGAGGGCCTCTTGACGTCAGCTGAGGACCGTTGGACGCCAGCTGAGGACCGTTTTTGGGCCTTCTGATGGCCATTAGACGCCAATGGATGACCCTCTGACATCAACTGGGGCCCTCTGACACCAGCTAAGGGCCCTTTAAGTTTGACGATAGCTCTGGGCCCTCTGAAATCAGCTGGGTGCCCTCTGACCTAGCTCAAGACCCTTTGACGCTCTTTAAGGCCTTCTGAGGGCCCCTTGAGGTCTTCTGAGGGCCCCTTGAGGCTTTCTAAGGGCCCCTTGAGGCTTTTTGAGGGCCGCTTGACGCCACCTGAGGACCGCTGGACTCCAGCTGAGGACCGTTTGAGGCCTTCTGATGGCCATTTGGCGCCAGCTGAGGGCCATCTGGCACCAGCTGGCGTTTGACGTTACCTATCTAAGGGCCCTTTGAGGCCATCTGAGGGCCCTTTAAGGCCATCTGAGAGCCCTTTGAGGTCATCTGAGGGCCCCTTAAGGCCATCTGGGGCCCTTCCAGGCCATCTGACGGCCCTTTGACACCATCTAAGGGCCCTTTGACACCAGATGAGGGCCCTATGATGCTAACTGAGGGGCCTTTGAGGTCATCTGAGGGCCCTTCGAGGCCATCTGAGGGCCTTTGGAGACCATCTGAGGGCCCTTTAAGGCCATTTGAGGGCCCTTTGTACACGGTCTTCGGTGGTCTAAGGATTAGTTAGAGGCCCATTTGAGGCCCCTATTCCTTCGAGCTGCCCCCCCCCCCCCCCCCAACAGAGTTGGCCTGCGCTACGCTACGTTACGCACTACGTTACGCTACGTTTGCTTTTTTTGCCAAAACTACGATACCGAATTACGATACGTTATATATTGCTACGTTACTGAATTACGGTATTTGTTAATTAACGCAGCAAATTATTTCATCGTACTACGTTATGCAATATGTCATCATCCACTACCCAGTGGAAACGGTTAGTCTCTACTCTCTAGTAAGCCAAATACTGCGCACAATGATCGCCGGCTTTGCAGCATCGTCGGTGCGGCGGTGCCTACGCGCTACTCGCTAGATGCGCTGGACTTCCGACAGGGAATTCCCTGGGACTCCCCAGTGGGAAATCCCCGGTGTCGGTCCGGCCGGAAGAAAGACTCAGTGGTATTCATATAGCAGGCGTCTCACATCCGTGTAAACGGCCGGAGGTCTGGTGACGATATAAGTAAACTGAAAAGAATTTTGTACCTTATACAAATACAGCTGACCTGTAATTGCTACGGAATCCATTTCGTAGTTCCCACGTTATTCTATTATTTTCCGTACTACGCTACCGAAACATCCCAATTACGCTACGAAACGGTACTGACAGCTACGGGTTACCGAAAACTTCAAAATAACGTAACGTAGGCCAACTCTGCCCCCCCCCCCCAACTTGAATGGGGGGGGGGGGCACGGGCCCGTGTGCCTCCCCCTTGTGTGCGCCCTTGGCGGCTGGCAAAAGTAAAACGGCCTTGAGTAAAACTATCTTGAAGAATCTTGGGCAAAACACCAGTACGTGCGAGAATTGAGCTGAGCACCTAGGCATTGGCAGGGGCGGATCCAGGAAAACTCCAAGGGGAGGGTCATGAATCGAAGTGGTGCCCCTACCTATACCCAAAATTAAAAACTCAACGGATTTCGTCCACTTCATTTTGGTGGTGCCCCCATTTTCAGTTTTTTTTTCTTTTTAATTTTTATTTTTAGTCAGTATCTTAACTTTTGCCACAACCACATTTACCAATTGTAAGCAAGTATATATGAATGTGCTATGTGTATATATGTTGTGGACGCTGAGTAGTGAGTACTTACCAGGAACGTTATCAGGTAAGCGAATCGTTGTCAGTCCGACGAACTTGACCCTGGCGTCTAAAGGGTCTGTCCTTGACACTTCAGGCTTGTCAGGGGCACCAAAGTCCTTCCAGGGACACCACAAACCTGTCAGGGGCACCTACGGCCTTGTAGGGGCGCCACAGGCCCGCCAGGAAGCAGGGGCACCACAGGTCTAGCAAGTATACACGACAGGCCTGTCAGGGGCACAACGGGCCTGTTGGTCCCATGAGCACCCCTAGGGGCAGGGGCACCACAGTCCTTCCAGGGGCACCGCAGGCCTGTGAGGGGCACCAGCGGCCTAGCAGGGGCACCAGTCAACACAGGCCTGCCAGGGGCACCACAGACCTGCCAGGGGCACCAGAGGCCTGCCAGGAGCACCACCGACCTTGCAGGGGTAACTTGGGCCTGTCAGGGGCACCACGGGCCTGTCGAGAGGCACTTCAGGCTTTTCAGGGGCACCATAGTCCTCCGCCGGGCGCAGGGGTAGCAGGGGCACCAGAGGCCTGCCAGGGGCACTACAGGCCTTCCAGGGGCACTACAGGCCTAGCAAGGGCACCACTGGTCTATCAGGGGCACCACGAGCCTGTCATAGCCAGGCATCTCAGGCTTGTCAAGGCCCAGGGGCACCACAGGTCTGTGAGGGGCACCAGCGACCTAGCAGGGGCACCAGTCAACACAGGTCTGCCAGGGGCGCCACAGACCTGCCAGGGGCACCACAGACCTGCCAGGGGCACCAGAGGTCTGCCAGGGGCACCACCGGCCTCGCAGGGGCACCTTGGGCCTGTCAGGGGCACCACGGGCCTGCCGAGGGGCACTTCAGACTTTTCAGGGGCACCAGTCCTCTTAGGGCGCAGGGGTACCAGCGGCCTAGCAAGGGCACCAGAGGCCTGCCAGGGGCACCACAGGCCTAACAAGGGCACCACGGGCCTGTCAGGGGCACCTCAGGGTTGTCAGGGCCCAGGGACACCACAGTCCTTCCAAGGGCACTGCAAGCCTGTCAGGGGCACCAGAGGCCTGCCAGGGGCACCACAGGCCTGCCAGGGGCACCACAGGCCTAGCAAGGCACCACTGGCCTGTCATGGCCGGGCACCTCAGGCTTGTCAGGGCCCAGGGGCACCACAGTCCTTCCAGGGGCATTACAAGCCTGTCAGGGGCACCAGAGGCCTAGCAAGGGCACCACAGGCCTACCATGGACACCACAGGCCTGCCAGGGGTACCACCGGCCTTGCAGGGGCGCCTCAGGCCTGTCAGGGGCACCACGTCCCTGCCGGGGACACTTCAGGCTTGTCAGGGGCGTTACAGTCCTGTCAGGGCCCAGGGGCACCAGGCCCGTGGTGTCCCTGCTAGGCCTGTGGTGCCCCTGGTGGTCCTGTGGTGCCCCTGTCAGGACTGTGATACCCCTGATAGGCCGGTGGTGCCCCTGGCAGGTCTTTGGGCCCCCGGGCCTCAAGGGGGGGGCCATGACCCATGTGACCCCCCCCCCTTGGATCCGCCCCTGGGCATTGGCAAATGGCAATCGAGGAATTTTACTTCTGATTACCCTATAAACATGCATTGACTGAGGTCACTTATTTTTCAAAAAAAAAAATTTATCAAAATGATTTTGATAAATAAAGCTATCTTAGTTCTTACCGAGTTCAGTCAGCTTCTCATAGTTGGATTTCATGTTGCAGTACGCCTGCTTCTCAATATCGCTGAGCGCTTCCCACGCGTCGTGGGTAAAATACTGTCGGATTAGACCAAATCGATCGCTTTCCATTTTGAAATAAAAGGCCGTAATTATTATGTGAAATAGATATTTAAATTCAATTTTTAAACAATAAGAACCGCAGCCCCCATCGCGCAATATACGCGTGCACACTTGTTTATTTCCGCCTTCTGCTTGAAACCGTAAGATGAGTCATGACTTTTATCAATTGTTTTTTTTTTATAAAACATGTCTCTCATTTTAAATCTTTGAATTAAAAAAAATGCTTATTTTTTATAATACGATTTGTATATATCTTGCCTTGCTAGTTTTCATAGCAAAACACGAAGTACTTGTAAATGATGACATATGAATCTCGACTATTATGACGCGGCTTTGCTGCATTACCACGTGTGTGTCGCGCGTGAGTGGTGGTTTTATTGTTTTTTTGTGGTCATGGTGGTTATTTCAATTGCAATTTCTTTGATTTCAATTTCTTTGAAGGGTATCTCCTGTATCTGTTTCATTTTGAGTGAAGGGCCTTTGCAGGCCTTCCGTAATCCGTTGTTACCGAGTACCAGTGTAAGTACAGAATGGACGCCGAACCAACGCAGAAAACGAGGGATCTTGATTTCAGTAGGCGGAACTGCATATTTACGTCTGGACAACGAGTTGCGGGGAAAAGTGCTGATTTTGTTGCAGTTTTAGGAGCCGGTGATTAGGCTGGATTTTTGGGTTACTTTTTCGTTCCGATTCATGTATTTCATAGTGTTTGGCTTTTGAATATTTTAGTTCTTTCAGATAAATATTACTTGCCTTACAACTTTTGTAAAAACGTTTCATTTTTTATAAGCCGACCTTCAGAGTCCTAAAAATACATCAGCACTACAATCATTGTAAACAAGCAAATGGCGGACCACTTGGCTCTGTTCCAAGGCGCTTTTTAAGTTTATCTAGTGGTTTCCGTACTCTTGTACGTCTTTTTGTTGGATGTTTTGGATCCATTACGATTGACTTATATCATATTTAAGAAGCATGTGACTGAAAACAATCCGAAGTATCCAGGAGGCTGACAGAGGTCCTGACTCCTGAGCAATATCAATATCAAGTTGAACTTGAAGTTATTAAATTTTGGTTGATAAACGCAAGTTGATCGGGCTCATATATCAGCAAAAAAAAGTAAAATTAAAAGAGCTTATTGGCCGAAAACAAGCTATAATATTGCAGATCCTGGACTCTGGAGCAACTGAAGAGCATGCTGAGCAGGATCATGCCAGAAAATGTTGACTGATGAGTGCATATTGATGTATTGGTATGAATATTGAATGATAACTTACAACAGCAAGATAAATTAGTGCTAACTATCAAGTTAAAAATCTAGAATGAATGGACTTTGGCAGCTTTACTATGCTTAAATGCTGTGCAGATTGTAATGTGCATTGTGCATCAGGTACTCAGTGTCTGGCAAATGAAACATGCGATCATTTCATTGCTACTGCAACTGGGGGAGAAAGCTTGGATCACCAAATCCACTTAATGTTGATTTTGATGTTAATCATTACTGTATTTCTTGAAAAAAGGATTGTTATAAAATTGTCAATGTGACAATCCATGCAACGATGTGATCATATGATGTGTTCATAGTCATTCATGATAGTGATTCATGATTGTTGGTCCATTATACAATGGCAAAGCTCTCAGCCTCAGCGTTTCTTCCTGTGGATGGCCAGCAGTGACTCACAGCTTAGAAGTATTAGTTTTCTTCACAGGGCTGGGATAAAAAGTACTGAGGGTAATCTTCCACCAAGGAACTCTTCTTTGAGTTTTGACATGGTATGAGATGTAGGCACAAGTAGGTAGGTGCTTAGTTCCTATAGTCAGCAGTTGTGTAGGTTTAGTCGGGTTAGCTTAGATTAGGTTATGCTGGTTTTTTAATTTGCCAAGTGTCCATAAAAATGTGACCTGAGCAATGAGCATACCTGAATAACCTGACAGCTGACCTAACCTCAATCATCACACATATTTGCAGCCTTACCCAAGACCTGCATAGCAGAAGCACCCAGTTATAGGTAGGTACTCACTCAGGGCCTGTTCCAGCGCCTCCAGTAGAAATTCTTGACTGGAGGCTCTACCAGAGCTTTCACTGGAGGCGCTGGAACGCAATCTGGAGATTTCTGGAGATTGGCATCACATATACCAAAAGTATGACGATTGTCCTCTCTTGAACCGCAAAATTTATATTCAATTTTATTAAAAAAGATTAACAATATTATAGCAATGTAATTTTCTTTACATTCAAGTTGTAAAAGAATCAGTCAAAAGTCCTTTGTTTACATTCATGATTGTCAAATGTGCGCCATAATTGTAGACCAGAGCCTCCAGAGAAATTTGGACCTTTCAACTCTCTGGAGGCTACTGGAGGTTTCCGGAGCTTTGGGCCTGTTCCAGCGCCTCCAGAAACCTCCAGAAAGCTCCAGAAAGCTCTAGAATCCTCCAGAGAGCGTTCCAGCGCCTCCAGAAAGCTCCAGAAAGCTCTCGCCAAAGCTCCAGAAACCTCCAGTAGCCTCCAGAGAGTTGAGAGGTCCAAATTTCTCTGGAGGCTCTGGTCTACAATTATGGTGCACATGTGACAATCACGAATGTAAACAAAAGACAATTGACTGATTATTTTACAACTTGAATGTAAAGAAAATTACATTGCTATAATTTTATTTATCTTTTTAACTAAAATTGAAAACAAAATTTTGCGTTTCAAGAGAGAACAATCGTCATTCTTTTGGTATCTGTGACGCCAATCTCCAGAAATCTCCAGATTGCGTTCCAGCGCCTCCAGTAAAACCTCTGGTAGAGCCTCCAGTCAAGAATTTCTTCTGGAGGCGCTGGAACAGGCCCTTTGGCGAGAGCTTTCTGGAGCTTTCTGGAGGCGCTGGAACGCTCTCTGGAGGATTCTAGAGCTTTCTGGAGCTTTCTGGAGGTTTCTGGAGGCGCTGGAACAGGCCCTCAATCTTACCTGCTAACCTTCAACTTGCCTATAGTTAGCTCACCTTGCCAAGCTGCATCCAGGGAAACAGTCAACTGAGGAACTGGCTCATTGGGTGGCTGGTGTGAGTCTGTGCATTTAAAGTGTTTCTTCTCTGAAGCTGCTCTGCACTGCTGTATATATGTCATGTTAGATGCTCAGAAAATGTGGGAAATGATTACTAAGCTACTTTAGTGCTTTGTTAATGCTCGAGACATGAACAAGTACAGATCCTGCAGGGTACAGCTATGAGTTAGGTGCTAGGTGAGTATGTTATGTGAATGTGCTGTTCCCTGTTTGACCATAGTAAGTATACAAACAAGCAATGGGTCACAGTTATATTCAATCTCCACATAAACATACAACAAAAGCGGCCATATAGCCTCACTCCGAACACACCACAAATTGCTTAAGCCTTTGTAGGCACAAAAATGCTTTGATTTACAGGACAGGTATACAATATAACCTCTGTCCTTGGGGATCTTGCTGCCATGTCGAGGTACGATGACTGAACTTCAGGATTGATCAACCTTTTCTTCTTAGCCACTGCTTATATATGAGAAAGACCAAATGCTTGTTTGTAAACTGCCTTGAAAATTTAATGATCCACCTTCAATTCTGACATGAAGGCACAAATAAAATAGTTCCCACTCCTTTTGGAATACACAAAGCAAAATATTTAATAACTTCTAGTGGATGGACAAGAGCAATTAGCATAGCTTCCCCTCCTGACACTGATGAATAACACTGACGCTTATTCGCTTCATATTTTGTAACAAACGCGCAAAAACTGCAATATATCAGCACTATATGCTTCTTGACAAAATGCAAAAGTACTAAAAATTTAGCCCTGATGGCATTCATTCTTGGTGGAAACGTAATTAGAAAATATTTTGTAGTAACTATTAAATTCCGGCCGAGAACAGTGCACGGTTTCAAAAAGAATCATTCCAATGGCGGTCCATTCTTGCGGTCCTGAAATCGCCACTATTTCCGGCCTCTCCAACGCAACTCGTTGTCCAGACGTAAATATGCGGCGGAACTATGGTCATGAGTACCCAAATATAGGAACGTTCCCATTTTTGGGAACGGAGTTCCCAAATATGGGAACGGGCGTTCCCATTTATGAGAACGGAAGGCAATTTTTCGACCGTTCGCCCACTAAAACTCAAAAGTGCATCACGTCTCAAAAAAGTGCACGCTGATTTAAGTATCTACTAAATCTCCATAAAGTTATCTTTAATCTGACCGTGGAACAAGGAAATTGACCGTGGAATGATATTTTTAATGATTTTTTAAAAATGACAGAATGGTGGAAATATGGGTTATACGACATTTAACATGCAATTTTAAGGAAAATGAAGCATTTTTTACATTTTGAGGTCAAGTATAATAATTTTCGCCTGGTTATGAAGTTTCATTCTAGCGACGCCAGATGCTGACATATGCAAGCGAACACGCGGACAGTCCCGAGGTAACATTGTTGACTTTTGGTGTCGGGGCGATCGACCGCGTGGAACGTCAGTGATTTTACCGAACTACTGTTGTAAACTCAGTTTCAGTGGTTTAAAATCATTCAGCTGTATTTTATCAGCCCTGAAAGACATATTTTATTTGGATGCTAGCTGTTAAGCGTTGTTTTATAAGCAGCGTCATGAGCGTGGTTTTTGTCTTCGGCGTTTCTAAGCATGATCGTTTGGGGGGAATTTCTCTGATATAGGTCGCTCTGTGTGGCTTATTTATAATTTTTATGCTGATTTCGATCATACCTCGTGCCCATCCTACCAGGCCTTTTGCCACTTACACTCATTAAGAAAGGAAAAAACTATTTTCATTGGGACTAGGTGTTTTGAGGGTGTAACATATTCAGCGTTCCCATTTTTGGATACTTCTTGTGCTCGTCAACTCTCGGTGATTAGCAGACAGGTGCTTGACATGTCTCCACCCTCGGCGCGAACGGTGGATATAGGTATGGAAGACCTTGTTGAACATCGCTGAGCGTTGTGCATTACGTAATCCTGCAGAGGGGGGCGTGTCCGCTGCGAGATCGACGGGAATAAAAGCGCAGAAGACCGGGCGAAACATGCAACGGTCTTGCCGGAAAGGTCATCTGATGATTGTTTAATTTGCGGCGTTGGACGTGATGCTTGTTAATGAAAAGAGCCCCTGAAAGGCGTCGGTGAAATCGTTCCCAATTTTGGGTACGCCGTTCCCATAATAAGGAACGCTTGCAGCGCCAGTGTACGAGAGCGTTCCCAAATTTGGGCTCGCGGCCCGGGTGATGGACTGCTTTAGAAATAGGGGAACGATTTGAAACTACGATGGGCCTTACAATATCAAACTCTTTCCCAACAATATTGAGACAACTATCAGGCGGTTCACGATCGTTTTATATTTTTTGGACGTCATTTAACAGTTCTTTTTCTTGTTTTAAATAATGCCTACATGGCGTTCCCATATTTGGGTTTATCGTTCCCAAACATGGGAACGAAAATGCGTTCCCGAAAATGGGTACGCTTGACCATAGTTCCGCCTACTGATTTGGATTTAAAGATGGATCAGCATCAGCATGGTGAGTTGTTTCATCCAAGCTCTATCGTCCTGGGGAATATTTAAAGATTGGGCCATTGTTGTTGCAGGCCGGATTCATTTTCATCCAGCAACGCCAGTATTTGTGTATCAGCTGGGGAAACTATGAGGTGCCGAAATAAAATATGATCAGCCAATCAATCACTTGAGTGGGCTGGGCAATGACCATATATGGTCATAAAATTAGAAAACTTGGTCAAATCCCTCTTTTGCACCCTGGGACCTCGAAATTGAAAAAAAAAACAGACCATCTTGTCACAAACCATGCATCAACCTAGTTCATACAATTATTGTTATTTAATGCAAAAAATGAGGTACAGTACAATTCAAGCAGAAATAAACAAACCTTATCTAACCTGACCTAGCCTTATGTAGGTACTAACCTACAACCTACACCTACAACCTACCAACCTAAAATCTACCTACCCCTTCGACCCACCCTACAACCTAACATACAACCTAAATATACTGATACCATATAACCTTACCCGACTCAATGAGTGGTTGGGACTTGGGTATAACTTATAAATATTTTGTGTAAAAACTATCATAAATACCTATGTGTGATCCCACTTTTATACCTTAGAAGGATGTATTCTTTCCCTTCATGATTTTGATTCGTTAATTTCTTCAGTTTGAAAAGAGTGTAGAAGTGTGAAATGACCGAAAACTTCATATTTTCACATTCCAATGAAAAAAATAAGGGTCAAATCTCTCTTTTCACCCTGGGCTCAAAATTGAAAAAAAAAACAGACCATATTGTCACAAACCATGTATCAGCCTAGAAAGTTGTTCATGCCGTCATTTAATGCTAAAAAATCAGGTACAATACAAGGAAAAATAAAAAACCTAATCTAACCTGACCTAACCTTACCTACAAACCTACAGCCTATCAACCTACAACCTACCAACCTACCAACCTACAACCTACAACCTACCAACCTACAAGTTACAACCCAGACTGGAAAACATCCATTCCATACACTATGCTGGACCTGGACGCCTGTGAGACCCTCTTGCGCCGAAATTCGGCGCAAGCGATTTTGCACTGAAATTTATGTGTGATTTGCGCCAAAAGCTAGGTGGCAGTGCCCATTTGTACGAAAAATAAGACCTTTTTATATAAAGCACATGTGCACACTGCACATCATCCGATCAAGGCTATATCAACCAGAGTGTTCCGGGGCCTTGTACGCTTTCCCATGTTTTAGCGTCCGAAGGAGTTTTTTATTTCCACGGAAACCCAATACCTCAATACGAGATGTGGCTAAAAAGAAACCGGACTGCTCGTGTTGGCCATCAATTAGGGGACCCGAAGACTAGCGAGACACTTGACATTAATCTTTATCATATTGTCGTGATGTTTGCCAAACGGCATCTCGATATCGCTATTATTCTCCTTTTCACAGCTCTTTGTTTTATCGATGTTCGGCGGCCTTGTCACAGCCAGGCTTCTACAATGAGCTTCGAAAAAAGAGGGAACATCACGTTCCTTGCCAGACTAGAGAATATCCAACAGAGACGCTGAATCTGTTCAAGGCTGTTAATGGGGAGCAAGTCATGTGTCACATGCAAGTGTTTGAATGGCATACGAGGCTCAGCACCGGTCGTGAGAATGTCGGTGATGACCCCAAGGTCTGGAGATCCATCAACGTCCGCGCGCATGTCGAAGTCGAGGGTTGAGACGACATTGATCGTCATTTTCGATCATAGGGGATTCGTTTCGAAGCCGAGTGTGGAGATGACGTTGGTCGTCTTCTTTGATCATAGGGGATTCGTTCACCGCCAGTGCGTGCTGGAGGTGCACCACAGTCGACCAGCACTTCTACTAGGAAGACCTGGAAGTCTGGGACGCCTCATTTCACCAGGCGCACCAAGTGGAGTTTCTGGGAAGCCAAGAACTAGGTGCCCCATCACGACAACGCTCCCGCGCATTCTGCCATTAGCGTCCAGCAGTTCCTTGCCGAAAAGCAGGTCGCGGTGCTCCAGCACCCTCTTATTTGCCAAACCTCCCTCCCTGTGACTTTTGGCTGTTTCCTGAAATGAAAAACGTCGTCAAGGAAACCCATTTTGAATCGGTCGAAGACATCAAGACCGGAGTGACCAGCGTCAGCGTCATCAATAAAACAAATGCCGTAAAAAGGAGAATAATGTAACATTATAAGTCAACTGATAATGTTTTTTCTCCGCCGTGAGGGCGAGCGCCGCCCATGTGATTGCGTCATACCGCCCGCTCGTCAGGTCCGCATGACCCGAGCCCGGGTCATTCGCGCTCGCAGCGCCGCCGAGAGCAGTCAGCCACTGAGCCGTGGGCTGGTCCAAGATTGGTGCCAGTTACGCCGGCCGATTTTTCGTTGCACTGCTCAGCCGTGCGCTGGTCCAAGGTTGGTGCCAGTTTCGCCGGCCGATTTTTCATTGCACTGCTCAGCCGTACGCTGGTCCAAGAAAGGTGCCAGTCTTGCCGCTACACTGCTCAGCCGTGCGCTGGTCCAAGATTGGTGCCAGTTACGCCGGCCGATTTTTCGTTGTAATGCTCAGCCGTGCGCTGGTCCAAGATTGGTGCCAGTTACGCCGCTACACCGCTCATGCAGCTGCGCGCTGGTCCAAGTTTGGTGCCAGTTACGCGAGCCGAAATTCGCGACACGAATGTTCGGTAGTCCTCTCAACGTAACGTAACTCGCTGGGGTTTCCGTGTATGCGGCAGATGTAGTCTGGCTAATTTGCAAGCACGCTGTGTGTATTGCGGACCATGTGCTGGTGTCGAAGCGAGCTGCGTCTCACGCGCTCCTCAGTTACCGTTTGCGGCTATTGTAATTTGTATGTTGTGTGCCGGACATGCGCCGGGTGAATGCATTTGTTTTGCTTTCATGCAAATTTTTATCTGCACCTTATTTTGCTAAGCTTACCTGCCTACGCATCGTTCTCGGGTTCGTGGGGGTAATGGGCTTTTCCTCACCCAAAGGCATTGTTGGATTGCACAATACATAGACCCATAATCACAACAACGCCTTTGCGAGCTCGAACGAAGCGTAGAAATAACGATATCGAGATGCCGTTTGGCACACATCATGACAATATGATGTACAGATTAATGTCAAGTGTCTCGTTAATTTTCGGAGCCCCTACTTTATGGCCAGCACCAGTGTTATATTTTTGGGAATTTTGGGTGGAAAATCACACCTAATGGGTAAAATATTTTCATCCCCAAAACCAGGTAAATTGGAATTCTTTCATCTTTGAAAAATGCTCAACTCATGCTCAACAATTAACAGCCAGATTACCAGATATACCTAGCAGTGCCATATAGACAGAATAGAACTTATAGGTTTGCTACATAATACATAATTTCCATGAAAAAAATCGAAATCAAGGCACAAACCCAACAACTCACCCTGACTGACAACGAAAGAAAATAACCTTGCACACTTCCAGCTGTTAATAACAAATATGCGTTGAACGACCTTGATCACCTCAACTGTTTGTAAAAACGAGGCTTGTGTTCTGAATAAATGCTTTTGGATATTAATAACAACTATGATTAGTGGTTTGCTGCCAACGCAAAACGGATGAGCCGCTGCTTGCGCAAATTAAACACTACCTCTGCATTTCGCTTTTGACTAAGTTGCGCAGGATACGCCTAAAAAAAATTTCATCTTTGGACCCGCAGTCAGCTGGGCACACCCTGGCACACCCTAGGGATGAATTTAAAACTTGATTTGCTCTAACTTCTTTCATATACAAAATAGGGGTATGAGACAGGTACCAACTTATTCTACATTCATTTCTGATCCTATTGTATCAATTTCACCACAAATTATGTCCGTCAATGGCTTCTAGAGGACTTTAAAGCTCGATGCGTCGGGCCTGGCAGAGGTCCAAGATGAGAAAAGCCACCCTGGGCACACCCTAGGGATGAATTTAAAACTCCGCGGGCTCTGGCTGGTTTCATAGGTAAAATAATGTTTTGAGACCGATGCCAATATATTCTGCGTTTATTTCTGATCCTATCGCATTAATTTCGCCACAAATTATGTCCGTCAATGGCTTCTAGAGGACTTTAAAGCTCGAGGCGTCGCGCCTGGTAGAGGTCCAAGATGAGAAAAGCCACCCTGGGCACACCCTAGGGATGGATTTAAAACTACGCGGGCTCTGGCTGGTTTCATAGGCAAAATAATGTTTTGAGACCGATACTAATTTATTCTGCGTTCTTTTCTGATCATATTATATCAATTTCACCACAAATTATTTACGTTATTAGTTTTTAGATGTCTTTAAAACTCGAGGCGTCGGGTCGGGCAGGGGTTCAAGATGACTGACACGCCACCCTGGCACACCCTAGGGATGAATATGAAACTCTGTGGACTCTGGCAGGTTTCATACGCGGAATGAGGTTATAAGACCGGTAATTACGTATTTTACGTTAATTTCTCATGCCTTTGCAATAATCTTACCGCCAATTATTCATTTCAATTAGTTTCTAAAGGTTTTTAAACACGAAGCGTTCGGCCGAGGGAAAGCCAAGATGAATGAAAGGATACCTTGGCACACCTCTAGGGATAAATTTAAGATGCGGTATTCCCAGATCTGCCCAATACATGTTCTGAAGCTGGTAGATGGGATTAAGAAGGTCCTAGCTTTTTAATAAATTATCCCTCGCCCGTATAGGGGGGGGGGTCGAACGAACCACCCCCTCGTTTTTTCGAGAATAACTCGCGTAAAAAGCGGCCGATCGCGACGAAACTTTCAGGACCCTCGAGTCAATTAATATGACACCTACTCTGAAAATCTCATATTCCTGACCCAAATGACCTTTGACCTGTGACCTATTTCTTGAGGCCATGTTTGGCCGGAATCGCGATTCGGCGAGCCGCTAATGCGTTCCGTTCACTCCCGCTCCGTTTCGGGTGTTCTGGTCAGTTGTGCTCTCGCTTTCCCTTCCGCTTGGGGTGTCCTGATCAGCGATCCTCCGTTCCGTTGCAGTTG